ATATTTTAGGACCCCATCGCAGATGTCCACATGGAGGAAGTTCATGATGGAACTTATGAATTAGTAAGTTTTGCTATTGATAATTATCGAATTGCGAATTCCACAATTTATATATACATATTTTAGGATTTGAACTTGCCTGAAGCAACCACATCTGTAAGTTGCAGTAACGAGACTGCAAATGTGTAGATTGTAAGTTACCAATTTAATATTTCTTACTATCAATACATGATGCATTATGTAGGAATATATATTACAGCTTGAAGAAACAAGTGCCACCATGCGTTTTAACGAGACTATGGATAGTAACGAATTTAATATTGAAGACCAAAGTCCAATTCCAGCAGTTGTGACTACTGTCAAAAAGACAGTTGAGAAAATAATTACCAAAAAAACAACCTAAAGGAAATGTAAGATATAGTTGTATCTGTTGTACAGCAGTAACTATTTGATTTTAGCGGAATAACTATAACGCAAGAAAATTGAAAACACCACTACACAAGCGACCTCGACCGAAAATGACGAATCCAGTTTTCACAGCCAAAGAGCTATATGTATTATAAGAGAAATGCAGATTTAGTAGCCTTGCAAATACAAAATGAAAAACAGCGAAATCAAAGGGAAGAAGAGGAGCATAAAATGAAAATGTTATTATTAGAGAGACAATTATATAAACATAATAATTAAAATAAATATATTTTGTTTTTACAACCGAGCAAAGTGATTATTTATAATAATTAATTGTCTTATCTGTCTGCCGTTATGTTGCCTTCTGGCTTCATGTGGTTGGGGATTTACTTCATTAGGTTCTTCGCGATTGTCTTCACATATGTCATCAGCAAACCATTCTGCTTGAAAGTGGTCATTCATGTCAACAGCTATATTGTGAAGAACCGCAGTTGCAATAATTACAGTTCTAGCTGTATCTAGTTTTACCCTAATTCCTACAGGCAATACGGCAAAACGTCGTTTCCAAACACTATATTGGCGTTCAACAATATTTCTCGTCCGAATAATACTTTCGTTAAAGCTGGTTTACACTATTCGATTTTCGTATTCGGCTTGCAATTCGACCTCATTCGAATCCCAATTTGTCTGTTTACACTTCTCGATTCTGCATTCGACTAGATTCGACATAGCGACGTTCAATCTTTCGTTCGATTTCGCATTCGATATTTCGCAGATAGAACGGTGTCTATTTTCGTTCGATTTTCCTTTCCAGAATTTTGCAGCGCATGCGCGGGTAATGCTCAATCCATCACCGATCAGCTGACGTGACGTCATGAATTATTATATCTAGGCATGCTTATTTATTAATGTCTCCACTTGCACAAACCCAATAACCAGAAAAATGCAACAAAATGATGAAGCAAAAATCTAATAATAAATACATAACCTCAATGCAAGCAGAATGACAGATTTCTAATTTTTAACAGCACCATCGAACTTAAAAATCTAATGCTATGTAAAGACAAAACGATTTTGAATTCGAGATCTCATTCGATGGTCTCGAATGAAAAAATCGAATCAAAAAGGCGAATACGAAAATCGAATAGTTTAAACCAGCTTTTATACAAATTCTCAGAAGGAGTATGAATCTCCTGTAATTTAGTCATAAGATACGGCAAAATAGATTAAACTTATAATCCACAAAATATTAAGAGAACACGAGCTACCGTGTCATATGAAACACTTGGTGAATATAATTTTTCAGTGCCCAAAAAACTAATGTTGGAAAGCCACCCATTAATTTATTAGCTGGTTCAAAAGTGCGTACATAACACCAATAAAGTTATGGATGAATCCTTCACCCCCGACCGTGATCCCCGGATTTGCTACCAGTTTTTACCTACTACTTTGATACGTTTCTTTCCTGCTTGATTTTGAAAAAAATCGGTAATATGCCATTAAAATGTATTAACCAGAAGAAAGAAATATCTCAGAAGGCACAAATTCTTTGTGAAATGATGCAGTATATCAGGTCTCTCCCAAACAAACGTACGGAAAAACAATCAATTCATGTTGATCTCTAAAACAGTGGTGTACAGTTACAATTCAAAGGATAAAACACTCTTGAAGAAAATTCTTCAACAAAGACGGGTAACCCATATTCTTGAGAGACCAAGAGTTACACTTGAAAATAGGCGAATGGGAAGGCATAGATAAACTTTCCATTTTGACTGAGAATTATGACCGGCGTGCCAGGGCCATGAAATTCTAAAGGTTCGAGGACATAAGACATATTCGATACGAATTTACAAGAAATTAGATCGTCTAAATTCCTGTATATACGACAATTCACTCATTGGTCTAGAAGTAGTTGCAACAGATCAAAAAATATATGTAGAAAATATTTAATAAATATCTCTCGACCCGGAAGTCCAGACAATGCTAATCCCTCAGGATGCATTATTACAGTTCTATTAAAAAAATTTGTTGGCCACTTTGTTAAAAATCGCGAGTATGTCTATAGATTTGTTTCACCATAATAGCATTGGTCACTTGATGAGGTAATGGTGCCACATGCTGGAATGAATTACGGAAAACAATTTATGAAAGGAACGATATGGGTATAAATTATGGGTGGAAGTTACCAGTTACGGTTCTGACTCATTTTGAATCCTACCAAGGAGCTAAATCTGAAATGAAACGATACTCTTCATAGAATAGAAACTTGGACAATGTGAAGATTTTCACATAGGCCGAAGTTATTTTATCTAAAATGAAAGCAACCAATTTTTTTGATAACTTCTTCACTTCAATTCTTCTACTAGAGGAATGATGTAGGCGACATAAACTATTAAAAAGGTTCGAAGAACACTGGCTTTTATAATGTGACAGATTATTGCATAACAAATTAATAATAATCTATCAATAAATTTAGCAAATTAGAACGAAAATGCAACCTCAAAATATACATGTGTACAGTAACTATATGGGAGGGGTTCACAGAAGCAATCGGGATATTGGATTTGTGTCGCATAAATTCTAACTTTTATAAAATCTTAATTTGATAGCGGTAACAGCAGCTACAATTACTACTGTCCTCCATAGGAGAACACGCTAATCAAACATCCTTAATAGATTTATTTCAAATTCCCAGGCTTTAGTGTAACTGAAGGATTTGAAGCTTCACATTAAAAAGTGAGATAATCACAATCGCCATGTGTTCTTTAACCCTTTCAAGCTTTGTGGTTTCCTAGGGTATACCACAAATTACAAATTATGTGTAGACGCTGCTTTGTGGTTAATTCTGCGTACCATCAGTTCTCTGCGTTCGCAAAAGTGCGCCCTCTCGTGTCGAGAGAACAAAATCCTGCCAGATAGTTACAGGTACAGTGGCTTTATTAGAGACAGTGGCGACAATGGTGGTCTCGTTTTTGATTGGTTGCAGCTAGTTGCAGCCATTAAGAGGCAAATTTGACATTTGTCAAAATTTCAAATTTGTCATTGCTGTCGTTTTAATAAAGTTTTTCAAAATGCCGGGATGTGCTGCCGTTGAATGCACAAATTCGGCAAAAATAAGGTATAAAATGAATAGAATAGGTAATTAAGGGAAATAAAAATGGAAAGAATGTATTTTAGGTTGCCTACCTACCAGTTTCCACTGTTTAACTTATGCAACCAGCAATTCACATTAGCCTCTTCATGACGTCTATCATTCTTCGTAAAAGAGAGGGTCTTACAGATAAAAGCCAAAACATTTCAACAATTCTTGAAGCATTTGAACTTTTTATTTCTTCAGAAATTACGGATATAATAATTGTTCATATATATTGTTTCTTATATATTGTTTTTTGGTTTATTTTTGTCAAATAATATAATAAAAGCTTTTAAAATATATTGATTACACAAATTTTACTTGAAAAAATTTATTTTGCAGTTGCAGTCAAAAATTATGCATAAGAAATCAGCTGGGTCACAACTGACCCGTTATGGTAGTCTAGGTCATTCCTGTTATTATGGTATGGCGAGTGTTAACCAAAACGCGGGGAACAAGGGTTTGATAAACTATATAAGTTGCGGCCATTTTTGGATTCATTATCGCGAAACTTCAGTTATTATTATAAAATACACGATACACTATCGATAGACGAATCTATGATTTGTTTCAAAGGCCGCTCGTCGATTCGCCAATACATGCCAAACAAACCCATAAAGTGGGGCTATAAAGTTTGGACACGAGCAGATAAAAACGGATACATCGACGGATTCCAAATATATACCGGCAAAGTCAATGAGACCGTAGAAAAACAATTGGGACCTCGTGTTGTTACAGATTTGACAAGATCTCTAGTTGGAAAGAATTATTCTGTTTACTTTGATAATTATTTTACATCGTTGCCATTACTAAGACAATTGAAGACTGAGAATATTCACGCAACAGGAACTATTAGAAAAGGAAGGAAAGAAATTCCGAAGGATTTCAGACCTGATAAGGAATTAAAGCGAGGTAATTATGACTGGCGTGTAACTAATGATGGAATTTGCTGCGTAAAGTGTATGGATAAACGAATAGTTCTGTTAGCCTCCAATTGTGAAGATCCATCTGAAACTGATTATGTATGAGGAAAAAGAAAAATGGTGAAACGAAAAACGTTACTTGTCCTAAAAGTTTGAAAAACTACAATAAAAATATGGGTTTTGTTGATAAAGCTGACATGTTGAAGAAGACATATGAGATTGATAGAAAAAGTAGAAAATGGTGGCCACGAATATTCTTTCATTTTATTGATGTCAGTGTCGTCAACGCATTTATAATTTTTCAGCAGCGTTGCGGCAATAAAGGAATTTCGTTTGGCCTTAGGGTGCGTTTATGTTGGAGCAGCGATAAACGATACGAGCAGAGATACTAGCAGAGCGGCGATTATGAATGCATGTTTATAAATGCAACCGTCTATGTTGAAGCACTGCGCAGAGCATCGCTTTTTTGCCGAGCAACGATGAGAGCGAAGAAAACTGTATTTGTATATTTCTTCGCTCCGATTCTATCATCTAAAATGGACGTGCAAGCGTTAATTTGTGAAGTTTTCCAACGTTCATCTCTTTGGGACCAAAAAGATGCAAATCATCACAACAGATTTGTGTTGGACAAGTTGTGGGATGAGGTGGCGCAAAAATTAAACACAACACGTAAGTTTAAAGTATATTTTTGCATGTAGATATGAATATATACAGTTATTTAGAGGTTATGGCATAAAACAAAGTTATGGAGTGTTTGTGATAGGATTATTACACAAATACGTTTTAAATAAATTGCGAACATTCTGTGCAACAAGAGCGGGTCTTCCAACATCGGGTCTCATATTTGCGGTTCTTGGAAAAAAAGTTAAATCCGTTAAATGATGTTCAATTCCTTCTACATCAATTATCGTGTTATGCAACACACAAATAGCTTTAACAATATCGTCGGCCGTATTAACATTAGTTTCTATCGCTTTGCTCAACACCCTCCATTTGGAATAAATTATCCCAAAAGCGCATTCGACGGTTCTTCGCGCACGCGACAATCGAGCATTAAAATATTCTTTATCTGCATCTAATTGTTGTCTGTTATATGGTTTCAATAAATTTGGTAATAAGGGATAAGCTTCGTCTCCTATAAGTACAAGCGGTGCTGTAATTTCGGAATTTGGTAAATTAGCATTGATGGGAATGTCAAGACGTCCTTCTGTTAAATGTAAAAACAAAGCAGATGATCTAAATGTTCCACCATCACTTTGTTTTCCGTATCCTCCAACATCAATAGTGATAAATTTATAATTCGCATCTACTAAGCCTTGGAGAACAATAGAGTAATATTGTTTATAATTATAAAACATCGTGCCTGAGTGAGGTGGACAGACAATTCTAACATGTTTTCCATCAATTGCTCCTGTGCAGTTAGGAAAATTCCAAAGTTTATAGAAATCATTTGCAATGTCCTTAAACTCCTGTTGGGTTGGGACTTTCATATGAAGTGGCTGAAGTATATCCCATAAAGCTTTTACCATTTCTTTAACGATTTGCGAAACTGTAGCAGGCCCCATACGGAAAGAAAAAGCTAAACTTCTAAATGATTGACCAGTTGATAAATATCTAAAAAAAAAAAAAAATACTGCAGAGAATGTACCTAATAAGCTTTTATTACAGGTGCTACAGTTAGGGCGAAGTGGAAGTCACCACGTGATAAATATAGGACCACTCTGGCTTCAATTCCAAAACCACGATCTGGTGATCGTGGAGGACTATCATGTAAGGTGCAATGGACGTATTTCGCAAGTCTGGGATTTTTAAAAGATCAGTTTACCCCAAGACTATCTACAGGCAATTTGCCAGAAACAAGAGAACTTGACGATATAGACCCGGATATTGATTTAGATAACGGAGAAGATGGTGCTTCGCAAGAAACTAACATTTCCACGAGTGAAGGGAATGAAGACTCTATAGAGCAACCTGCTTTTGATGTCATTGGGCGACCATCTTCTTCTCAAAGTTCCACAGCAGCACCATTCATTTCGCGACCATCTTCCTCACAAAGCTTCACACCAACACCATTAACTACTAATACTATTGACAATCATACTCCTGCAAATACACGAAAACACCGTGCTACCGTTGACATAGGGTCACAGCTGATTCACCTGGAACAACAAAAACTGCAGTACCTAGAAGACAAAAAAAATCAAAGAAAGACAGTCGAGTTGGGAAGAGATGACGAGGACTTGAACTTTTTCAAAAGTTTATTGCCTCATGTATCAAAATTGTCACCTCTTGACAAAATGGCGTACAGGATGAGAGTGCTCCAAGTTACTCAAGAGTTCCTAGGCGGTCATCGATGGAGTTCTAACAACAATACTATTAACAATGAAACAGGAATAGCAAACTCTCCAAACGCTGTTCGCTCTGTTATCACATCTTTTTGCGACCAGGATCAATCCTTTCTTACTACACTATGAAATCAATAATTAATTGAAAATTTATTTTAAAAATTTAATGAATTTAAGTTTTAAAATGTTAAACTTTATTAAACTGTATTAAAATATATTCTATTAAAACTTACCTTATTGTAACCATTAACCTTTCTTCATTTATGATGGGTCTGGCGTGACAATTACACCATTTTTTATTAACTGCGCTAGAAATCTTTGATAAAATGTAATCAAATGTTTCTATTGTCATTCGCATATATTCAAAAAATTTCTGTGGATGTTTTCTCTGATCAGGATATAAATGGTGAAATTCACCAAACGCATGGCGCTTCCTATTAATAGGATGAGCCACATATTGTCTCTTTTTTTTTAATCAATTCACTGTTAATAACGCACCATTTTTCTGCACTTGACATCAGCACTAAATCATCTTCCTCTGATGAGGAGTCGCAGAAATCGGCCATATCTGTGTCTTTAAAGAACAGCTGTTATTAACACAGCTTCTACATGAACAGACTGAAGAAAAATGCACTTGTTTCGTTTCACTCTTTGCTCTTATCATCGCTCTCGTATCGTTTATCGCTGCTCCAACATAAACGCACCCTTAGTAGCAGGGTTGGTAGACGCAGGTAATGAAGTACCTGGAAAGGGAAGACTAAGTACCGAAAAGTCTAAAACCGTGAACAACTACAAGCCTTTGGTACCACTAGAAAAGCGATGGGATCAATCTTTACATATGCCAGTCTACGGTACTAGCCGAAGATGTGCCCTATGCAGTACTCGATAACATCAAAGGCGGTCTAGGTGGTCGTGTAGTACTTGGGGCGTCGCGTTATATATGTCGGACAAGAAAACTTGCTTTCAAGACCACATTTTTTTCAAAAAAAACGATTAAATAATCTTAAAAATAAATTTATACCTGATTTTCTTACTCATCTCCTAACACTATCCTTCAAAATTACATTTCATAAACATTTTTTTCTAAATGCTGCCCGCAAATGGTTAAAAAGTCACATATTCATAAGAGCAACTTAATAACACATCATAACTTTCGTCTTGTTAATAATATGTAGTGTCTAGTATAAAAAAAGAATGATTGCCTTTTTATTCCTTTTTACTTTATAATTGCCTAATTGCCTAAAATGAGAGTGTGTGACCTAAAACTGATTTTTGTGACCTAAAACGTCCTAAACGGGCTGCTTTGCGGTAATTTCACCAACATCCACACAATGGATGTTGGATAAAGTGCAGTAGCTCTTTGAAAGACGTCTTGCGCCTTTGCTTTCGATTGTAATACTTTATTTTACAAACAAGCTAGTAACACATTTTTATTAGTTCTTTTGTAAATGCACTTCCCTTAATACCAGTTGCTATATTTCTGACGTTCAGTTATAAAATTGTGTCATGGTGTAAGTTTGGTGTTCACTTGTGAAATATTCTTTCTTATACATCGTGATGCCTAAAGAAAAAACCTTTAACACGGTCAAGATTAACCACTGACTCAAATCCGTGGATGATGCCAGCGGATTATTCTGTAAAGCATTGGCAAAGTGATAAGCATGTAATTACGATTTACATCAATTTGTTGTTGTTTAAGTAACATACAATATTTCAGTTTTAATGCTGAATATTCAAGTTTAAGTGTGAAAATATATCTCATTTGGAACAGCATTAACGAGGAGACATGCAGAAATTTTCAGGAGCAGAAAGAGATACTTTGCAATAAATGTCCAAACAATTTCAGATGCCGACGTTAGAATTCGAAGAATTGTTGCATGTTGACCAAGCTCATCCCATGGCCAGACCATTTTAAATAATAGTCGTGTTAAAAGAGACTTTGGAGCAAGATGATACGAGCCACATTTTTTAATTGGTGACAGTGGTTATGCCATGACAAAAAAAAACCTTATAACACCTGGAGAAAATCTATACAATGAATCCTTGTTGAGAACAAGAAATATCGTGGAACGATAGTATGGAGTGTGGAAACGGCGATTTCCAGTTTTGTCAATTGGTATGAGATTGAAACTAGAAACAATAATGGAAGTTATTGTTGCTTACAGCAATGTTGCACAACACAGAATGGTTTGAAAACATCGAACATGAAGAAAACATTGAAAATCCCCCTGGACCAAATGATAATGTGGTTGGGGGTAAATATGTTACAAGTAGTAAAGTGATATCTAGAGTACACTGCTTAAAATTGTTTTAGCTGAGCTGCAGCTAACTTCCGAGATAAAATTTAGTTAAAATTTAAGCAGATTGGTAGGTTTTACTCTGATAGTTCCTCAGTTGCAAAAAAAAAACTAGATATTAGCAGTTCGCACCTGATTCAAAAAAGTTCATTTTCAAAGTCCCTTAGCAGTTTCAAGTGCAATTACAAAGTTATCAAGTATGATATGTACAAATAATCTTGATAATAATCAAATAAGGAGAAACTAGGTTCAAAAAGCAAGGTAAAAATCTTAATAATTCTGTAGATTTATGACAAGTACATGATAAACTAATCAATTCAGCCAATCAGAAAACCAAGGTGAAATACCAGCAGAACAGTGACAGTACATGAGTCAACCTATTATTAACAAATTTGTAAATCCCATGTATTATTGGGATCAAGTAAAAATGATGTATTCCCTTGCTATTAGGTACCTAACGACTGTAACGTGTTAACAATTATTCAGTAAGGAAGGAAACATTGTTGACAAACGAAGTTATGTACTGAAAACCAAATAAACGATCCAATCTGATGTTCTTAAGTTGTTTAGAAGAAGAATGGTTTATGTAATTTGTTTCGTTTCTTATATTTGTAAAATCATTTGTTTTAGTTACTATATGTATTGCTATATTCATGTTTAGTTTGCCGAGTCTTTTAAAAGATAGCAACAAGTTAAGTTACAGTAAGTTGCATTTGTTTCTGTCAATAGAATTATTTCTATCAGCATTTTAGGGGGTGGATTTTGGTAGATAGCTTTACATTCAACATAGTGTCTGAAGAAATTTTTAATTTGTGATACAAAAGACGTAACCGTAGAAGATCTCAAAAAAAGTTAGTTTTTCATCCATAGTAATAACTGGTAATAACATACATTTTCCTATATACTTAAAGTTATCATTGTTTATAGACGTCAGATGAATATTTTGTGTGACAAGACAAATCTCGAGGAAATATCTTACATAGAATGTGGTCATAATGAATTATCATCACCACCACCAGTAGAACAAATTGATGTACGTGATAACTTTGATAAGGCTACAACCTCTAAAACAAGAAAAAGGTAATGTAACGTTTATATTCTAGATAAGAACCTATAGGGATGTTATAAATGTTTCTTACATACCATTACCATTATTACACCTTTTTAGATTAAAGGTGGAACTTGATGCTACAACCAATCATACCATAGAAGGGAGACGTATTGTAGATATGGCTTTCTTTTTCCAACAACTACCAGAAATAAGTGGTCACAAACCTTTCGATTGCACTATTGCAGACATATATTTCACGAAAGAGATACACTAAAATGTGCAATATTGAAAAAATCTTAAAACTCAACGATGACAGTAAATCCAGTGATAGTATGAATATCAATTCAGCATTTGTCTGGGGTGTGATAACAACTGGAATTCGAAATTCTGCAGTAGAGGAGCTTTTGTCCATTGCAAATGTGCGATTAATGTCCCCTACAACAAAAATATGAAGTTTCCTGTAAAATTCATGCTACAGCATGAAAAACTATGGAGGAAGCAGGAAAAGAAGAATTAGAGTTGGCGATACAGTTGGACGAAGTTGATTCTGCACATAATATTCCATATGTAACAGTAATTGCAAATGGAGCTTGGTCCAAACGTTCATACAATGTTAACACGATGCAACATCAGGAGTGGTTAGTATTTCTTTGTTTTAGCAAAATTATTCTTTATAATAGATTTTATCCCTGTTGCAGGCATGTATTATTGATCATAGAACTCAAAAACGTTTGTTCCTTGGGGTAAAAAACAAGTTCTGCTGTATATGTGCCCGAACTGACGAACAGAATGCTACAGTACCGGAGCATTTATGTTTCAAAAATTGGGCAGGAACTTCAACTAGCATGGAAGCTGCTATCATAACAGAAGGTTTCAAGCAAAGCACTCAGATGCATGGACTTAAATATTTAAAGCTTGTGGCGGATGATGACAGTAGCGTTCATCGCAGATTCTTGGAGGCACGCCCCTATGGACACAAACTTGTGCAGAACGTGCGAAATTTTTCCGCAAAATTACGCGCCTTATGTAGTAAGTATTGATGCCATGGACAATCATCCAACAAGAGAGAATAATGTAGAAATTATCGGCTTTGAAGTTTTGAATGCAGAAGTGGATCAAACCATCACCATTGAAATTAACTATTCCGGGAAAGATTATTTAAGTGAAGAAATACAGGAGGAAGTGTCAACGAATTTATTTAATTTAAAAACAAAATGGAATTCTCTGGGACTACCAAAGAAGAGCAACAAGACATCACTGAGTACACCACATGGTAGTTTGAAAAGCAAATTAAGTCAGTGATCAACACAAAAAATAGAATTTGCTGCTTTGCAAAAGGAATTTCTGCGTGAGGAACACGAACAAAAGCTTCACCACAACCAGGAAAGGCATCAGAAATATTTGGAAGAATGCAATTTACGAATGCAGCACATGCAGAAAAAGCATGAATTAGAATTGCAGTTGTTAAAAAAATCGCATGAATCAAACAAAATATAATTGTTATAATATATGTAACTATATAAAAACTATAAAACATAATAAATTTTCAAACTATTGGTTAATCAAGCTTTGTCTAATGATGTTATTAACGTTGTGTGCACGGTTATCTTCAATTATGTCATCAACTATTATAGCTACAGCAATTTCACGTTCTGCGTCCTCATTTATGTGCTTCATCATTCAGTTCACAAGGTAACACAAGTTTTAAGTTAAAGGAGCTTTAAAGATAATTTAAAGTCTACTTTAACATTATGGGACGACTTTTTTGCTTAAAGGCGCCT